TTACCATCAGCTGGGCATGACTAACACATACAATATTGAGTGCGGTGTCTTGGCCGTAACCCTCATTTGACCGAATGACGATTTAGGAAGTGTATGTATGTATGTATGTATGTATGTATGTAGGTAAGTAGGTAGGTAGGTAGGTAGGTAGGTAGGTAGCTAGGTAGGTAGGTAGGTAGGTAGGTAGGTATGTATGTATGTATGTACGTACATATGTATGTGTGTGTATGTATGTGTGTATGCTTTCATGCAAAATACATACATACATACATACATACATATGGCATATATATATATATGTATATATATATATATACACATTAATGTATACATATATTCATCTCACACACACATATCTATATATATATATATGCATGTATGTATATCTGTTGATGAGTACACACACACATACATATATATATATACACATACACATACACACACACACATATATATATATATACATACATACATACATACATACATACATACACACACGCATATTTGCACAGAGTTTTTGTACACAAAAATATACGAGTGCTATGTATGTCCATCTCTCGACTTTTGCTCTTGGAGATGTTGAGCACGTCTTCGATGGGCCCCCGGTTCCGGCCAGCCAGCCTCGGCTCAAGAGAAAGGGAACCACGACAATTGGGCACCCGAGAAGCAAGGCCAAGGTGGGTGCGTCCGCGTTGAATCGCTTTGCTTCAAATCTTTTTGGAGCTTTTTCCGCGCTTTTGGGAGGCTTGAAGAGATGAGCCTCCCACCTATGCCCGATGCTGCCCACACCTCAGACTTCCCCAGAAACAGACCTCGAAGCCCGCTTGTGATCTTCATCTTGCCCTCTCCGGATCTCTCAGGTGCTCAACAGCGGCACTCCAGAGGGGACGGCCTCGACACTGACGCTTACCGAAGATGCATGGGATTTGCTGGGTCTGGGCGCGTCCGATGCCATGAACGACCGAGACATGCACATCAAGAACGGTCAGGTGTGCCTTTTGACAGGTGGAGATTACATGAATGCAAAGAGGAGGTATGCTTTGGACAACCGCGAAGCACAAAGGGCACAGTGGCGACAGCAAGCAGAGCAGCGATTGGCCAAGGCCGGAGCGGAAGAAGCGGTAGCAACAGCTTGCATCCTCTATCTCTCTTTCTCTCGCTCTCTCTTCTTTCTTTGTTGAGGAGGAAAAAGGGAGAAGAAAGGGGGGGGAGATGACGGGGGATTTTCGAGAGGCCGATGCGCGACGTGGTGGCCTGGACAAGGCTGCCGCCGAGGGCGGCGTGATGAAAACCGCGAAGTTCACCTGGAGCAAAGACGGGGCGAAGTCCTTTGAGTGGCGGAAGATCTACCACGCCTTGGTGGGCAATGTGGGCCCGGGGGAAGGTGGCCTTCTCGCAGAGGCGCTGATCACACCGACCTCCATGCGGAATCTCAGCTGAGATGGTAGTAGCGGTCTGCAGTTCGTCAGCCGAGGGAAACATCTCGATTCTTGCTTCTGCCGAGGATGTACACTGACCACCGCGTCATGGGCCAGGTGGTCTTGCCAGGAGTCTCGCACGTGTCTCTCATGGCCGCAACAGCATCTCAGGGATTCCCAAACCCCGGTGGCGGATTGGGTGATTGGCACATCAGCGTCAAAGAGGTTCTCTTCGAGCGGCCGTACATCGTCCACTCCGGTGCTGAGCTCATCGCAGCCATCGCCAATGGTGTGGATCCCTCGACCGTTCAGGCCATGGCTGGTGGACTTCCAATCCCGATGACACCTGTGGGTGTGCCAACCACATACTGTCGTGCGACGAATGTGACAAAGGAGCGTGGCATTGTCAAGTCTACGCTGGACTGGGCCAAGTAGAATGTGAGACCGCTGGCCGTGAAGCTCGCAGATGGTTGGAGACAGAGGGTATGATGGGCTGGTTCTTCCTGTGCACTGAAAGCGGGCCAGCGATTTGCAGATAGTGGCCTCAAGAGACAAAACTGAGATTCACCCGCTCGCTTGATGCCAATTGCCAGTTGCGATCCATGCACTTCCAAATGTCAAAGCTTGCTGTTCGAGTCCTTAAGGCATACACGCCTGGCAAGCTCGCGTGGCTCACTACTTGGCGCACAGGCTGGATGGCTCGATGTTGGGTCCACTCCTCAACTGAGGTCACACAGGTGTAGCGGTGTAGCGGGCTAAGATGACGCCAAGGTTCCAGCGTGACCCTGACAGATCTCATCCAGGGTGTGAATGCTGCCGGAGTGTCCAAGGCCTCGTTCTGTGTTTTCGTCTCTTGTCGTGTCGTTTCTGCATGAGAGGAGACGTCGGAAGTTTTTGAGGACATTCTGCCAGGGGCTTTCAGGTTTTCGTGTCTCCAGGGAGCAACATCCGCCATGCTTCGCTATGCGAAGCGCCTCTCTTTTGCATTTCAGGGCGTTTCTACTGCATTTGCGACCTTGCAACCTTCAAGTTCCCTGGGAGCTGAAGGCAAGGCCCCGCCGTTCACCGCCCTTCGCCTTTTTGTAAGCAAACGTGGTCTCTGCACTTTTTTGCTGCACGGTTTTTGGGCGGCCACCGAGTCTCTCGGCGGCTCTCGCGCGCGCTCTGTGGGAGGCCATCAAAAGCCAGCTGACCGCCACGGGACTGCTCCGCGCCCGGCTCTGCTCGCTTCCTTTTTGTGCCGGGCCGCAGCCGCAGAAAAAAATGACGGCTCTCCTGTGCTTGAACGGCCCCCTCCCCCTCAGGCTTGCGACGCGTCGTGCGTGCCTCGGGTTTTTGGCGGAGAGGGTCTTCGAGCACCAGTATAGAGACCCGAAGACGAGGCGTGGGCGATGGAAAGGAGGTTGTCAAGGCCAGCCCACCAGCACGTCCTTGAGGCGTCTCGGGCAAGTCCGTCGGCAGGTGACTTGCACCTTCACCGACAAGGTCATGCAGGCTTGCCAGAATGCTTCAAGATGGCAACCGGCATCTGGCCTTGGGCTTGCAGGCGTTGCTCGAAACTGGGCACCTGCGCGCGGACCTGGAAGACCTGGACCTAGGCGGAAGACATTTGAGCGGCTCAATGCATGTCGGGTCTGAAGCATCTCCTGTCAGGCGAGGGTTGCATGAGCATGGAGTATGCCGCTCTTCTTGCGTCTTCCCGGCTGGTAAAGCTTCGGCACCCTTTCCTTCTCTTCGGCTTCATCTTCCCCTCAGGAACCTCCTCTGCTGCGAGACCTCCTCGACAAACCTGAAGGCGCACAGAGAACTGCCTTGTACCGCGAAAAGCCGGTTCCCCCGAAGCTCTTGACCAGGCCTGCGTTTGCAGGCTGATCATCGCCGATGAGGACCTCCGTTGTGCTCTGATTTTTGAGAGACCTTGGGTATCGCGGATCTCTCGCAGGACATCGGCCAGAACGGCCAGGCCACCGTCTTGGCGGATGGGCTCATGCAGCTGCTCTGGAGAGGCGACTCCCTTAGAAAGGGGGGGAGCAATACTCAAAGCCACTGTCACAATTGCTTCGAGGCGCGCCCTTCCTGGTGACCTACGCCTGTGCTGCCCTGGTGAACCTCTGCCAGGGCCATGAAGCCGCCTCCTGAGCCCAGAGCCCTTCACCTCATTGGGAAAACTCGGGAGCCCCGAAGCCTTCTGTCTTCCTGAGGTTGTTCGAAGTCATCTCATTCACAACGACGTCATCCCGCTCTGCAAGCATAACATCAGGTCACGGCAGGGTGCTATTCTGTCTGTCTGTGCGCATGTGTGTGTGTGTGCCGCCCTTTGCCAGGGGAATGAATAGGTTTTTCGCTGTTACAGGGGGGGCTTGACATTCCGTGGCTAGGTCACAGAGTGGGATGCTGCACCCGCGCAGTGCAGCGCTGCTGAAAGAATGGCTAGGGCTAGGGCTAGGGCTAGGGGCTAAGCCGAGAACCCCAAATAAGAGCGCATCTTATGAAGATGGGAACTGAATGAAGTGAGTGGTGTAGCAACCTCTAGTTACTCCTTCCGGGGAGTTTACCAAAGTGTAAAAGTGTGTGTGTGTGTGCGCGCGCGTGTGTGTGTGTGTGTGAACTTCCCTAGCACATGGGAATAGAGAGTCACTCCTCTTGAGCTGATCGGACCAAGCATTGCAGTAGAGTTTTCGACTTTGAGTGACTTGCAGGGGAACACAGCATGTCACTGGGACTGTGTCCANNTCCAACGAAGCTACCAGTGACATGGGAAGTATATGATACAGTCGCTGTGCAACTACAACAATTGTTGAGCGTGCAGCAGCAGCTGCCGAGTGTCAAGCATCATGTCGGATTGCAACACCCCGCCCTAACCCACTTCGCTTGCCTCGACCTCTTCTCTTTGCCGAAATCCATCTCTGTGTGTGTGTGTGTGTGTGTGTGTCTGTCTCTGTCTGTGTGCGTGTGTGTGTGTGTGCGTGTGCGTGTGTCTGTGAACTTCCCTAGCACATGGGAATAGAGGGTCACTCCTATTGATTGTGAGCATCCTGCTGCATGTGTTAACAGCATGTCATACCACCAATTTTGCTTTTGCAGTTTCAATTCAAATGAAATACACAGCAGGAGGACCATCCAATTGTTATGAGCGATGATCCAACCAAGCGGCCATACAACTGCGGATATCAGGACTGATCATCCTGACCTTGCTGTAGCAGGTCAGGCCCCTAGGCTGACCAGATTCGAAAAGCCAGGCCCTGAGCTGGCAAGATTTGATCAACCACTGTTTTGCATGACAGCTTGCCACATCCTGCCCTGCCCTACTTTGCTCGTCCTCACCTCTTCCCTTGCCGAAATCCATCAGTGCGTGCTTGTATGTGTTTGTGTGTGTGTGTGCGTGCTTGTCGGATTTGAGCCTGTGTGTGCGACTTGGAGGACATATGATAACGACCTGGTGCTGTACTCGCTCATGGTTCTGGTGCGCCCTGATGGGGCAAGGTCCCAGACACGTCTGACTTGTTTCTGTTTCAGGTTCAGTTGACAAAGAGGTCCAATCATCGTGCGTCCGTGGAGCGGTACGGCATGGCACTCAGCAAGATGGGTGTTGTGGCAGAGACTTCCGTGCCATGAAGGGGGTGTAGCGTCCTCACGTTTCCTAAGACGTGGAGCTCAAATGACATGTTTGGAGTTGTGCCGAAGAGTTGACGTCGTGATGGGCCTTTGGACGGGGCGTCGAGGCTTTCTAGGTCTTTTTACAAGTCTCAGCGACATGAGGGCTGTGTCCGCTTCGCCGGAGCGATGCAGTCGAAAGCAGAGCTGCAAGGCCGGGATTTGCGCAGCAGCTCAAGTCCCGAGCACACTCTAGTTACTCTGGTTGTACAGCTAAGCTCTACCAGCCCAAAAGCCTTGAAGCTCGAGCGGATTGAATCTTTGGTTTGGTCTTTCGTGTTAACGATATACTGTGGCAGGGCAGTTACATCCCGCCGGCCTTCTTCTACATGCTTTTTGATGTCCTCCACAGTCACAACCAGCAGACCCCAGAACGAGTGTACTTGTACATGTTTACGCATTCACCATGTGCCTGTCGGTTCCTTGCAGGGCTTTTCACGCCCCGCTTGTGTGCCGAGGGCTTCTGGAGTTCTGCACCGGCCTGCTGCACTCGCTCCATGCCCAAACAGAGACGAGGCGCTTTTCTGCTGGTGCAGAAGAGCTGGGCGCTCTTTTGTCTTCTTTCTGTGTGAGCAGGTGGCGGGTGCTGGCCGAGCTCTGCAACATCCTGGGCCAGCTCTTCGCCGTCGGGGCCCGGTCCTGCGCTGGGTCGCAGAGGCGCTCTCTCTTCCGGCTCAGGACGAGGCGTCGAGGGAGGCTGCAGCCGCACCAGAGAGTCAGGCATGGCGCCGCATAAACAGCACCGCTGGAGACCCCTCTCGATGCGCGACGACAGCGCACATGCTGCCTGCAGGTCTTCGATTTCCTGATGACACTCATGGAGTCTTCCGTCTCCCAAGGTGCTCTATCCCCCCCACGTATAACCCTTTGCCTCTGCAATGCCCTCCGTCGCTTGCGAGGTGTGTCGCCGCTGCCTGACTGGAGCATCAAGCTTCAGAGCAAGGCACGTCCAGGTCCTCTATCACTGTTTCAATGCCTGCAGCTGCAGTGGGTGCCTGAGGTGCTGCTCGCTTTGCGCTCTCTTTGCCAAGTGTCGGCATTGCGCAGGGAGCAGGCGCTTTCGAAGGCCTGCGAGATCGGGGTTGGGCGCTTTCCGTTTCATGTGCCAGGTCTGTGACCACGTGAGCAAGCCTCTGCCCAAGCTCTTGTCGGCGCTGGGGAACCAGGCACCCCGGGCTCGCCCCCGGGCTCGCGCGCGGCTCCGCGCGCGGGATAGGCGAACCTGGAGCATGCGGATTGGATGAACCAGGCCTCTCTCGCAGCACCTCTCTCCTCGGCTTCCCTGCTCTGAAGAGCAGGCTGTGCTGCTCTGCTCGGCAATGAGCACCACGAGGCACCCGCATTGGCATCCCGTCATGACCGACCACCTTCCGGAGTCTGACAAGTGCAGGGAGCACCTCGTGGACCTGAAGGAGGCTGGCTGGGAGCAGGCCTATCCGGCAAGGGGCCCAAGGCAGCAAAACTCGACAGGCGCGCTTTGTCCTATCGGGCCTCAGGTGATGAGCACTTGCCAGACTGCGGCTGAGCGCGACCTTCTCCGAGAGAGGACCCCTGGCGCCTCTTGTTGATGCAGGGTGTTGAATCTCGTTTCTTTCAGGATGATGGTCATCAGCAATGCGATTGCCACGCTTGCAGGTCAAAGCAAGTAGTCCGAGTTCGATTCGACATGTCTGATGTGCATATACTTTTCTGCAGAGAGACTCGAAGTGCCAAAGAGCCTGGATCGCCAAGTGTTGTGGTCAACTTGTCTTCAAGCAGGTGTACAAAGATCTGTGACTGGAAAAGCCAGTCTTCTGAGACGTGACGCAGTGCACAATCGAGTTTTCATCTGCCTTCCGCCAGTCCCTCCCGCCCCCAGTTCAGCACTTGAACCACTTGAACCACTTGGCGAAGCCTTTGAGGCCCTGAGAGAGTCCGACAATGCAGCATCTCCCCAAGCTCTGCTGTGCAGAGCCCAAGCCTAGTAGTCTAGGGAGCGCCATCGCCACCTCACCGAGGTTTTTAGGGAGCGCTTAGAGGGCACGCGGCCCACGCGGTCCACGCTGGCGCCGGCACACAGTCGTGCAGACTTGGGGTAGGCCAGGCTTTTTGAGGCTTCCAAAGCCGTTTGCAATGGGACGGTGAGTGGGTGCTCGTGCTGTAGCAACCGTAAGTTGTTCCGTTGTTTTGACAGAAAGCTGAGTCTCTCTTGAAACCTCTCTCTCTCTCTCTCTCTCTCTCTCTAGCTGTAGGCGGATCGCGGCTGCTCGCGGACTTGCGGCCTGCGGCTCGGAGGATGCCGCTCTACGAGGAGCTGAGAGCAGCCTCTCAGGGCTCGGTTTATGCAGTGTGCAATCAGCACCTGAATCGCAGGAGAAGTTCATCTGCCCGTTCTCCATCCGCTTTTCGCAGGCTCGGATACGGCCCACCTTCCAGGACCGCCCCTCTTCACAGGTAAAGGGCAAGCTTGCAGCCAGTAACGGCGGAGCGGAGTCCCTGTTCCAGGATGGAAGGGAGGTGGAGGCATCGATGGAGCAGATTTCGGCGCCCCTGGCTTCTTGTGAGTGCTGAGCTGCATCGGGCTCGCTGCTCGCGATTTCGTTGCACTCGGCTTTAACAGGCTGTCTCGTGTCCAGAAGGACCTCTACAACAGAGATACGATGTCCTTCTGAGGCACCATGTTGAGCTTCATTGCAGCTTGATGGCAATCACGCAAGCTGCCAAACTCTTTGAGGGCACCCTTTCCACCCATCGAGATCATTCGATGGTGGCCCAAGCTGCGTGAGGAGGCAGCGTTCTTGTCTAGGCACAGAGCTTGTGGGAACAACCGGAAGAAGCCCGTTTCCTCAGCAGGCAGAGGCACGATTGCCAGTTCGAGTTATGACTGTCAAGTATTCCATGTAACTCGAATACTTTAAGCAACAGTTGACATGAGCTTCAGGCTTTCTAAGGCCTCCAAATCAGCCCATGGGGAGGGGTCAGTGTCATTTCTCAGATTGCGAGCCTTCTTGTGCCCACACACCATTGGCTTGCGACCGCACAAGAACATTGAAATGACAGCTTCCGGCTTTTCTACCGAGCCCCTCCCAAACGATCATCGGCATCCACCATCCTGAGTTCATCTGGTGAGCAGGATGGTGAGACCCTCCTGGATGAGAACGGCAAGACCATCCTAGGCCGCTTCAGCCTGCTGCCCCTGCTGCACAGCTTTGGTGCCTGGGCCAGGAGAACCGTGCTGGTTCACCTTCGACAACCGAAGGTTGTACTGCCTGCAGGCAGGGTCGAAACAGCGAAGTAGGGGCTTCGTTTTGTTGTGTTCTCTGAATTTGCGGTCGCAAAGCGTGGGAGCCCGAGGCAGCAGCCATCAAGAATTGGCCTTCTCGAACGGCTGCAGTGGTGCACGTCATGCATGATCTACCCGCTCGGGGCTGAGTTGGGAGTGACGGTTTTTTGGGGTGCTCTTTCCTTTCCCACCTCAGGTGTCCAAGTGCGCGCCCAAGAAGTTCCGCACCACCGATCTGGGCGGGTCACTGAGTGTTCACCGTCTCTGCGACTCAGAGCGGGAATGCAAAAAAAACTCATTGAGGCTGCTCCGTTCGCATCTCGCGGAGGGACGATGTTGTGCCGAAAGCCACTTGGACCTGGATGGAGGCGTCGCTGAGATCGTGTGAGCGCTCGTGACGCGATGTGTTCACCTCGTGCCTCCTCCCGCCTAGCTGGCAGCTGGTCGGCTCAAAGCTCTTCACAGAAAAAGCGTTGAAAGAGCCAATTTCATTCAAAGGCAGGTGCCGAGTAGAGACTCTGCTTCGGAGCTCGTGATGTGACCAATGGATGCGTCCATGGCCCGGAATGCTCCAAGGACCGGGCAGAGTGCACCGAACAAGACTTTCTCTTGAAACTCCGAAAGCTCACAGACGCAATGTCAGGATGCTGCGGAAGTCTCTGGCACGGGCCAAGAGGAGGCTTGGAGGCGCGGCCAGGATGCCCCGCGAACACTCGGCCCGGCTCTGACGTTTCCGGCGTTTCCTACCGGGCCTCCCGGCTCCTCTTTCCCCTCTGGGGCTTCCAGGTCTTGGGCAGGCTGGGAGAGCCGGGTTAGGCCGGGTTGCTTGGGGGCTCTCTGTCTCAGCCTTTGCACAGGACGCGGTGCTATGCCAAAGGCTTCAAGGCTCAGCTGCGGCGCTGTAGTGTGCCTGCAGTGGCGATGGCTTCTGGAAGGGCAAGAAGTCCAAAGCCAAAGCCAGAGGACCAACTTTGGCAGACATCGAAGCAAGGCGCGCTCCTCTCAGGAGCTCCTTTTAGCCAGGAAAGAATGCAAAAAGGACTCACAGCACATCGGAGATGTCTTTTCGCCGCTCCAGGCTGCGGCAGCGCAAGGAGCGGCGCCGTGCCCCCAGGGCCGCCTCAGCCACGGCCCGCATCGCCGGGACCCGTTCGCTCACCTTTTTCAGGTGAGCGCCTCTTGGAGAGGAAGGCCGAGGAGGTGCCCGGTGGTGCCCGGTGCCTCGCTGCGACGCCTGCTCGGTGCTGTCACGCGGAGGCCGAGAGACTCAGCGAGGCGGAAGAGGAGGCGGAAGAGGAAGAGGACGAAGGGGAAGAGGAGGAGGAGCGGTCTCTTTTTTTTGTTGCGTGGAGCGCGTCGGGGCGGTGCTCTGTTTTGGGCGGCCTGCGGCAGGCCTGGGATGCCTTCGGTCGTGCTGTTGGTCGTGTTGTAGGAGGGGCCGAGCGCCACGGGCCGGGGGCCCGAGGGGCCCCTGCCCGCCCTGCCCGCCCTGCCCGCCCACCGAATGCCCCAAAAAAGAAGCGGCCTCGAGGCAAGTCCTGGTCAAGGTCACAGACAAGTCCGAAGCGACCATCTGCCAGATTCCCAAAGGCAGACGGGCGTCCGGGCCCTCGACTCGTTTCTGAATCACAGGAGCAGAATCTCTTCCAATGCCTCCTCTTTGTCACAGGCCGGCGCTGCCGCCGATCGTCGGCGACGAGGTGCGTCGGAGCCCCGACGCCGGCTGCGCCCTTGGCTTCGGCTCCCACCGCGCCCGAGGCATCGCCTTCATGGCGGCCGCAGCAGATGCCGAGGCTCCGCGTTGTGGGCGCGTCCGAACTGAAGTCCCTGTTGCAGACTTGCAGGCTGTCGTCGAAGAGGCCGGATTTGGACGGTTCCTTCCTGGGCTGTGAGCAGATCCGGGCAGGTGCTGCCGCGGAAGTCCACGCTGGTCCGAAGGTGGGGGCCTGCGATCTGAAAACAGCCGCAGCCGCTCAATCGCCTCCGGCGCTGCAGGCGTGCGGGGTCCCCGCACCAGGCGCAAGTTCTCTGCGCCAACCTGGACCTCGCGGTTCTGGTCCTCAGCACCGAGCCCAACTTCTCCGAGGTGCGAACAACATCACCTCTGCAGAGGCTCTGCAGAGCCGCAAAAAAGCACTCGCATCTCCCGATTGGTGAGGGCATGGTGGACCGCGTGCTGGTCTCGGCGCATGCGCAGGGTTTGGAAGTGGTCATCGTGCTCAACAAGGCACACTCCCCATAAGCTCTGGCAGTTTCGATCCGAAGTAGCGCAGGATCCTTACACTTAGCGCAGCTCGATGAGATGGCCGAAGACTTTAGCTGCAGGCAGATCTCCTGGATGATTCTGAGAGGATCGAGGCCCACTGCGAGTCGGAGCAGCGGTGACTCAGTAAGTCCTCCTGGGTCGCTTCTTTGAGGTCGAGAAGCGGCTGTCAGTTTATGAGCTCGCGGGCTATAAGGTGTGCAGCTTCGCTGGTCGAACGGACGGGTTCGGAAGGGATTTCCGTGGATGGGTGATTGTGAGGTGCTGCTGGTGAGTGCCTTGGACGGGCAGAACGTGGAGCAGCTGCGCGAGCTACTCTGCGGCCGTGCCGAGGCTGCATAAGGAACAAAGATGGCGGAGATTTTCCCAGTAAGACCTGAGAGCTGGTGAGCAGATGTGAGCAGAAGCGGCTCAAGGCACAAGCATCCTCATCGGCAACAGCGGTGTGGGCAAGTCGCAGCTGCTGAACGCGCTGGGCGAGGATGGGGTTCGCAGCTGAGCCGTGGGGTAAAAGAGTCCGTCGCTGTACAGGGCCAGATCGCTGCGACAGTTGGCGACATCAGCGAAAGGCAAGTGCATGCTGAGATATGCTGAGTCTGAGTCGGAGACTGGATCGTCTGGGAGGTTGAAGCTGGGGAGGCACGTCACTACGACCAGCAGCCTGCAGGGGACCTGCGGTTCTCGGCCCTCCGTCCGCTCTCCTCGCCTTCTGCTCTTTGAGGCATCGGCTTCCGGGAGCTGGGGAGCCGGCTTACTTGATCGACTCACCAGGCCGCTTTTTTGTGCCCGCTGTCGGTGCTCTTCCCTCTCAGTGTGCAGGCGCGCGGAGGTTCAGCATCTGGGACGTGGAGGCTGCAGAACTCAAGGACCGCGGAAGCTCTGCCGCAAAGCTGCCGCAAAGCTGCTGCAAAGCAGATTGGCAGGACCACTTCGTCGAGTTCCTTCCGGAAGCTGAGAAGTGCAAGTTCTCCAACTGCAACCACCTCGAGGCCGACGAAGAAAAGAGGTCGCAGGAACTGCAGCCTTCTCCTCCCAGGAGCCCGGATGTGCCGTTAAGGAGGCAGTGGAGGTCCGGGCGGCTCTCTTTTGTTTTTGCTGGGCCCCGGGCCCTCGCGCCCTTTTTGTTGGAGGAGGGCAAAATCTCCCGACAGCGCTACAGCTCCTACGTCTCCATTCGGCACAAGTTGCTGCAAGGCCAGTGGCGAAAAGCAAAAGCAAGTCTCTGTGACTCTGCAGTTTTTGACTCGATCTGCAGAGGCCAGGAAGGCACCAAGATACCTCCTTGGCATGGGCCTCAGGCTGCCTGAACGACAGCCCACGCGTCTGGCAACAAAGCGCAGGCAGCTGCTGACGGAGCCGGAGTGAGTTGGAGACGGACGTTGCTCTTCGGAAAAGTGTGCTCTGTCGTCGGTGCTGCCTTGGCGGGTCTTTCAACAGGGGAACCGTGACTTAGTCCTGCTGTCTGTGGAGGCAGCAGGCGCGATCGATCGGGAGTCTGAGGACGCACTCTGCCGCGCTCTTTGAGGTGTCCGTTTTCAAACTGCCAGCAGGACTATAGGAAGGCCATGGAAGCCATCTTTGCAGACGGGAACAAGGCAGCATAAACATGCATAGACCCTTTGATGCACGCTGCATGTTCCTTCATAAGATCTTGTGTGGCAGGAGCACTGGTCAGAGCTGCTGGATGTTCCGGCGAACTTCACACGTGAGCGCGCCCCACAGATGCGGTAGGGACCGAGCTGGTCCAAGATCTGCACTTGTCCACTTCAGGGATGGTGTCAACGACGAGGCACTGAAGGGGCGGTGGCAAGTCCTTGAGAGGGAGAGAGTCGGAGAGAGAGCGAGTGGAGAGAGATGGCCAGGAGTATCAGCTGTACCGGCCGAAATTCGACGAGGCTCTTCCGGGGCTCTGCGGGTGATACTGTGGCCATGCCTTGGCCGCTGAAAGGAGGCGGACCCCACGGTGAACACGAGGACCCGTCCAGCTTCTCGCATGTTCTGTCAGACAAGGATCCCGGATAGGGGGAGAAGTACCGGCCTCAAGTATCCTTCGGGCAGTCACACTATGGGACTTCTTGGTCATCCAAGAAGTCCCAGGGCCTAGCGGTGCTAGCGGTAAAATCGCGCAGGCGGAAAATGCTAGATTCGCCCCAACCCATCATGACCCCGCGAGCCCCAGATGGCTCCGTTTGAAGGACCGCCCGGCGGATTCTGAAAGCTGGTGGCTGCCGCGTGAGCCGAGGAGGCCAAGCTCTCAAATGCCTAGGTTGGAGCCTTCGACCAAAGGTACATGTCGGCTCTACGAGAAACTAGTCTAAACCTGGAGTTTGCACATCGCATCTACTCGGGCTACCAGGGTTCAGACTTGCAGATGCATGCATGCCCTAGCGACGGTATGCACGGTTGTCTCTGTCTGTCTATCTGTCTGTCGGTCAGTCGTTTGGTGGGTGTGTCTGTCCGTCTGTCCGTCTGTCTGTCTGGTTGCCTGCCTGCCTGGTTTCCGCAAAGCCTGCTGGTGGTTCACATCAGCAGTTTGGCTTTTTCGGTTGTAAGAACTGCAGGGTGCAACCTGTGCCACCGAGCTCCGCGATTTGAGACAGCATCCTTTCCAGCTGATTTGAACGTAATTGGGGTCTTGGGGCGAGGGACCCCTCACACACGGACCATTGCACATCAGTTGCCGGGGTGGTGTCCATAATTGGTGGTCATAATTATAACAATCTCTGGACGTGTTCTCAGCAATAGGGTAACAGCTAACATGCAGCTATCGGTCGATGAACTTGCAATCGTGTGTGTGTGTGTGCGCGCGCCTTTGAGTGCGAGAAACGCGAAGACCTCATGCATCATTTTTGAGGCACCGAAGCCCAGGCAGCTGCAGCGACAGTAGGAGCCTTGGTCGTGGTACTTGATAAAAGCGCGGTTTGGTTCTGGTTTCTCGTCTCCGCATGAAGGTTGCTGCAGCGGCTGCCGCAGCGGGGTTCTGAGCTTCTCCGTCGTGCCGTAGTCCGTGGTCTTTTGTGGCTCCGTGCGACAGAGGCCGCAAAAGCCTCGGCCATGTCGACAAAGCGTTCGAAGGAAAGCAGCGGCAGGCGGCGTTTTAGCCGCAGCCCTCTGTGAGGCCCTTCCGCTTTGGTCGCGCAGTGCGAGTCCAGGCCGGAGGAAGCGACGGAAGCGGAGACGGAGACGTGGCCCGGAGCCGAGACTGCGGCGCGCCCCCCCGCGCCGATCGGAGCGTCGCTCTGCAGTGCACCTCGCACGCAGTGCGCGCTCTCTTCTTCGCTGCGCTCCGCTGCGCTGCGCTCCGCTGCGTGCCCCCTTTTTTTGCAGGGCTCCGAGCGGGGCCACGGCCCAGTTCGCTTCCGCGAGCTCCGCTCTGAGCTCCCTCTCGGGCCCCCTCTCCGTCCGCCTCTCGCAGCCTCTCTCACGTTGCAGGCTCCAAGGACGCGGCTGCCTACGACGGCTCAGGTCCCAGAAATAGAAAGCTTGTTGCTTTCTCTTTCATAAGACTGTGGATTCGACGGAGGCTACTTCGAGGAATCCGAGTACGGCGGGGATTTCAATTTGTACCAGCTTGCCGCAGCCGCTGCCGCTTACAATGGGGCTGCACAAGCATCGCTCGCATGGCAGTTCCAACAGCAAATGATGCACAACATGCAGATGCAACAGTTCCAGCAGCAGCGCCTCCAGCAGTTGCGGGATCTGCGACAGAAAGAGAAGAAGAAGGCGCAGCAGGCGCAGCAGCAGGCGCAGCAGCAGGCGCAGCAGCAGGCGCAGCAGCAGGCCCAGCAGGCCCAGCAAGCTCTGCTGGCCCTGGCGGCCAAGTCCCTTCCAAAGGCCGCGGCCAAGGCAGCTGCCAAGGCCCCAAGCAGCCCACCATGCCCACCTTCCATCTCAGAGGTCGGATCCACACTTCGGAAGACCGTGAACGGGGCCAGCGGCCTCACGAACCTCACGACTCTAAGCCCCGGCGCCGGGGCCACCAAAGGAGTCTCGAGCGGGAGCGGGCTGCTGGCACCGGCTCCAGCAGCGGGCGACGTTGGCTCCCTCCTCATGGCCTCTACCCAGGCGCGGGTCCGAGTGGAGAGGGACAAGGGGGAGAGAGAGGGTCTTCTCTCACGGTGTCGAAGAAGAGAGAAGGTACTGTCGGCACCCCGTCGAAAGCACCATAAGCCATGGGGGGCCCCAGTGGCCGAGGGGCCTTCACCGCCCCTTACGCCCGAAGGAAGAAGAAGAGAGAGAATCGAGACCATCTTAACACAAGGCTGACAGTAAGAGAGCAATATATTGCTCTATACTGCTCTTCTGGTTCTTGGTGCGACAAAACTCCGGGTATAGTATATACTTTTCTGGGGCCGTAAACAAGCGGACTCTTTCGCGCTCAGGCGAGCAGCACGGCCACGCCGGCCTCCCCCGTGAGCTCGTGGGGCCGGCAAGCTTCCTTCGCGGTTCAAAGTTGGGCAGAGGGCAGAGAGAGAACACCGAAGTCTCTTCTTCTTCTTCTTCAATAGGGATGCAGGGCAGATAGGAAAACGATCAGGCTTACGTTAGGAGGACGTGTCCAGGAGGTTGTGTTTTGCCTGTGATATATTTTGGCGTGAAGGAGCCAAACCTCGCTGCATCAGCTACGGGGGAGTGATCGCTCTTCGCACCAGAGCACCGATCCAGTGCGGAACTCATGCGCGACAGACGCGTGTCCAGTGCCGTGGTGGCCAGGTCTTCTGCAGCGCCCTCGCAACCATCGCAGCCGGGGCTGCTGGACTCGAAGGTGCCAGCGCAGCCGGAGCCCAGGGAAAGCGGGAAGGTCGGAAGGCCCCCTGTTCAACAATGGGCTGTGCGAAATTCTGAGGCAAGAGGAGGATGTCGACTGCAATCAGCAATGAGGGCGATGGGGGGGCCGCCAAAACGGACGGTCGCTGCCCCCTTGCCGGCCGCAAATCTCGAAGCCTCGCTGGGATCCGCAGGCCTCGAGACTCGGGGAGTCCCTGGACAGACTCAGGAGCTTTTTGAGGGTTTCTGAAACTTTGTGAGTGCAAGGCAGTTAGCATGTTTCTGCACCGAATTCGCAGAGAAAGGCCCCGTAGAGCTGTGCGGCGTTGCAGCGGCAGAAGAGCACAGCTCTCTGAAGCGCGATGTGCTCAACTGCCCGGCCTAGAACCGACTGCTTTTGAGACGTAGGGTGTTGACCGTTTCAAGAGAGGCCAAGATGCTTTCGTTAAGTTTAGCGGGCATTTAAGGGCTGTGCATGCTGAGAGGTGCACGCCGCTGTGTACAATTCGAGATACGCGTGGTTCACCAGACGATTCCAACTGCTCTATAGCGAGGGAATGCGCTGGAGTCATGCTTTTGAATGTCAGGAGTGACGGGGAAAAAGCTAAAGGCTGCCCCTGGACCAAAGCTCCTACCTGCGCTCTTGGTGGATTCCTTGTACTTATCCGAATCGTCACATATAGCTTCCAGGTTCTTGGCGGAGGTACGGCGCTTCGGATTCCTTGCATCACTCCATCCTGGATTCGCTGTCAGTTGTCGTCAGCTAGCATAGTGCAGCAGAGCTCTTCAGAGTTCAGGAACTCTCTCGGACGTTATGCGGGTGATGCTTCCGGAATGCATAGTTTTCCCGTGCGTGTCGCGCTGCGGATGCGCACGTTGCGATCGCTTGCCACGGCCAAAGTGTCATTTGCAACCAACGGCAGTGGCGCAGAAGGCGGCGGAAGAAGTGTCCCAGAGGCCCTCCGAGCCACCCTAAACCGAGCCCTTTTTGAGGATTCTGTGGGATTCTGTTGGTCAGTGTTTTCTCAGCTTCTCCTGCGCTGAAGGGCCGTCTCTCTGTCGAAACGGTCGAAAACGGCCACATCTGTTGCCCTGTGCGAACCCCCGTGGCGCCGATGTGCCACGCAGCTCACGGCTTATACCACGGCGTGACCCACCCCAGACCCAGAGTTCTGGGCACAAAGCGATAGAGAGGGTGGATTATAAAGCTTTACTATAATGCACCGTGATAACCTAACGTATACGGCGTTGGTGTGTGTGTGTTTTGCGAGGTCTTCCTGCAGGTGATGCCGCTTGTTGCGCATGGTTGTACAATCTCTTGATACAGGATTGCCGCTACTCTGAAGACGAGCTGTTTTGGCTGCCATACCTTGAAACTGGCTTTGAGGAAGTCATCTCAGGGTGCAGCATTTCTAGCAGTAGCGGCTGCGGACAAGCAGAAAAAGCCCAAGCTTCTCGGTTCTCTCCGTCTGCCAATCTGGACCTGTGATTTTGTTCGGCAGTCCCTTCATCAGTGACGATCCTGCCTGTGGACTCTCTGGCTCAATCACGTCGCGCGGCGACTACCGGAGGCCACCGCTCCGAGAAGAGGCTGATAGCAAGACTCGCCGCAGAATCCGATGCAGGCGGGTGGTGACTCCCGCCATGCTTCCGAGAGTGAACTGGAGCTCAGACACCACAAGCTGAGCAAGGACCAGGATAGGCACTGCACTAAATCATCTTCTGCAGCAGCGCCGAGCCGGCCAGGACCATGGATTGTTGCTGCTTCCCTAAGCTCGTGGATCCGGCCGAGACCTTCCTATGTTGCCTTCCCCTGGGCGCGGGGGTGAAGCTCCTCATGTGGCCGCACCAAGCGCTCACACTCTACACAGTCGCTACCGCCCACCTGCCCCGTTTTGAGGAGTCTTGTAGGTACCTTCCGACAGTCTTAGCATGTTAAAAACACATCTCAATGCAGGCCGCGGAGAACCTGATCGCTGGCGACCTGGGCGTGGCTCTGAGCGGCTCGAGTCAACTTCTCTCGGCTTCCCTGCTCTAGCGAGTCACATCTCAGGAGCCACGGGAACATCTCAAATGTTCGAAACCATCTGGTCTGCGGCTCGCAGCCTCGCAGCCATGTACTGACGAAGGGACACAAAGGCAGCTCCATGTAAGCATCCATCCGCGCAACCTCTGCCAAGGTCTCTGGTCGGAGCCCGGCTGCCCAGCTGTCTGTAGTCCTTCTGCAGACACGAATCGAAGTGCCAAGAAGATCACCTCTTCGAAAGAGTTTCTTAAATGGGAAAAAGAGCTGTGGCCCACAGCGACGAGACACCGAGTCCTCGAAGCTTCGTCTTGTGCCCTTTCCCCTCCAGGTCCCGATCATCACGGCGGGCCTCTGGGGAGTCTACCACCGGTTAGAGCCGCACGTGCCGCAGTCCGGAATTTTGTCTGCGGCTTAGCCTCTTCCAGAATTGGAGAGAGCTTGCCAGGTGCGACTCTACTGGTACTACTTAGTTCTGAGCTTCTTCATTGACATGGCACGGGGCCCAGAGAAAGACTCGAAGCTTCAAGAGACTCGACGGATCCTATGCCCAGTACTACGTCGTCGACATCTTCCTTCTGCGCGACGCTTGTGTCCACCTAGCCCTGGAAGCCGGGAGCCCGCAGAATTTCTGTTACTATGTTTTTGGTGAGGGGGGGTTCGCAAAAGGGTTCATTTGGAGGCAGGCAGGTAGGCAGGCAGGTAGGTACATCTAAGCTGGGCAAGTTGAGGTCGCCGAAGCTGATGCAGGGGGTAGGATGATCTTGCAAAAGCTCATTTTGCAGGATGATCCGTCCTGTTTTCGCATTCTGCATGGCCTGCCGTCAGGTCCAAAGCCGGCAGGGCCAGGCCTTCGCCTGTGGCGTGGCTCGGAGTGTGAGCACCGCCAGCGCCGTGGTGCCTCGGACAAAAGAGAAGCAAAGCAGCGGCGGAAGTTCGGGGGGGAGATCGTCTCAGGTTCTTACCCTCCTCTTTCTGTACCTGATCTACATCGTCTGGAGCTGGTGTGAGGTCGGGGGATGTCGGGGCCGGGGGGGCACCAGCTTTGGCGTGCCCCTTTCAAGCAGGATGTGGAAGGCACCGGCGCCGCAGACGTCTTGACCTTGAGCACGGGGAAAAAGTCCAAGAACGGCGGCGATGCTCCGCGGTGCCCTGAGGCCATGGCCAGCTTGTTGGACATGGCAGAGGGCAAGCGGCCGCAACGGGGCTACGGCTGGTCGCCCAATGACCTGCCAGAGCTGCTTGGCCCCAGCATGGATGCCACCGCAGGGGGCCGAGTCCCACCCCATGGAGCCTTGTTGCGGCCACTTAACTTTTCACTTCTTCGGTGAGGCCTCCATCATTTCCGGGGCTGGCATCTTCTACGGTTCCATCAGCAATGCCATCAACAGGGAAGCCAAGATGGCCGGCGGCTCAGAACAGAACGCCGAGGTAGGGAAGGGCTCACTCGCTGACGTTTTGAGGTGGGCCAGTTCGTCGTAGAGGAGGTTGGCGACATCGAGCGCTATGCGACAGGCCGAGTGGAGCACAGGGGCCTGCAGGCCTCTGCAGGGCCCGGCCCATCGTCTCGCCGTCTCGCAGCCAGGCCTTGAGCAGCGCTGACCGGCAGCTGAGCGAATCGGAGCCGAAGGAGAAAAGGGAGAATGCATAGGCTTGACGTGTAGAGATGCGAAGGTTGCACGTGTGCTTCTTGCTGCACCTCAGTTGGACAGCCGTTTTGGTTCTTGCAAGTCAGGGATTCGGTCCGCATCATTATGGAGTTAAAAGCGAAGGCTCTAGTCTTCCTCGTGGTCGCTTGCGTGGGAGTGGCCGCTGTAGCTTCAGGTGCTGCCAAGGAGCCGACCATCAATGGCCCTGTGATCGGCGTAGATCTTGGGACCACTTACTCTTGCGTCGGCATCTACAAGCAGGGCAGAGTCGAGATACTTCCCAACGACCAGGGAAATCGCATCACACCCTCGTATGTGGCGTTTACTGATGAAGAGCGGCTCATAGGCGAGGCCGGAAAGAACCAGGCCGCGGTAAATCCCACACAGACCTTGTTTGACGTGAAACGTTTGATGGGGAGGCGCTTCAAGGACTCTACCGTGCAGGAGGACATGAAGCTGCTACCATTCAAGATTGTGGACAAGGGCGGGAAACCGATGATCAGCGTCAAGGTGAAGGGTGCGGAGAAGATCATGCCTCCGGAGGAGGTGTCCTCCATGGTCCTCGCAAAGATGAAGGAGACAGCTGAGAACTATTTGGGCCAGGAGGTTCAGCATGCGGTCGTGACTGTACCTGCATACTTCAATGATGCTCAGCGCCAGGCTACCAAAGATGCAGGTTCAATTGCCGGACTTCAGGTGTTGCGGATCGTGAA